TAAAATAGAAAAAGTAGATGCAGCCATGCCCTTAATGCTTTTGCGCCATGCACTTTAGACTTTGCGCCTTGATTGTTAAAATAGAGCCTTAATATTTTTTGCATCTTAATCAAAACACAAAAACAGGGTGAGACATAATGTAGCCCCTCCCGCTTTTTAAAAACAACCAATAGCAAAAGATTTTATCACATCTCTGCCAGTGAGAGTGGTTGAGATTGCATCAAATGAAAAGCTAAAGAGAAGCATCTTCAAGGGGTGGGGCATGTCAGATACTAGAGAGCATTTGATGAGTTATAATTTAAGGAAAAACCGTAGTATGGGGTGACGTGAATAAAATTGTTGATCCATTTAGGTGAAAGTAACAAATTACAAGCTTTACATGTTTATATTGTTATTTATATCTTCTTTTAGTACTGTTTTGGGGCACTTTAGTAAATAGATATTTAAAAAAACTAACACTACTGACATCTAAAAAAAAAAAGTATATTTTAATTTTCATGGGATCTTTAAGAAAAACGTTTCACAAGGGGAGTTTTGCTGTGATGTTAGAGAAGATCCAACTTTGGTTTGCTTGGTTTTCAATAATCTTTGGTTTGTCACAGAACAATTAGTTTGCCATAGGGTTTTTCACATCAGGTAATTATAACTATAAGCCAAAATACTGATCCCTGAGGACTAAATTTTACTCCATTATGGCCATCACTTTAAACATTAAGTAAGACAAGCCATATGACAGCAACATCAAAACCAGCATTCAACAATTTCAACATGTAGAGGAGGGAAGAAGTTTTGATGTAACATATTTGTTGTGGTTTTGTTTTAAAGGAGATGGAATGTACAAGTTGTGCAATTAAAAGGGCAAAAGGAAAGGCAAAAATTCCATATGACTGGTGCTGTTGCACATCACCAAAGCTGATAAAAAAAACACAAAACTGCAGATAAAGGCAGCAAGTGAATTCTGCTTCTGTACATGTATGTTTTATAACACTTCTATACAATTCTGCGCCAGTGTTTCATACGACATGCATTTGTCCGATCAATAAACAGTTATGTACAGACTAGGGTAGTCTGCTAAATTAGACCCCCAAACGTCACTGCTGTACTAATATTATTCTGTCGCTTATAGTTTATCTAATAATAATTAATTAAATTTAAGTTTATTTCTATAGTGCTTTTACAATGTTGAATGTGTCAAAGCAGCTTAACATAGAAGTTCAAGTGAATTGAAACGGTGTCAGACCAGTTTTCAGAGTTCAAGTTCAGTTTAGTTCAGTTCAGTGTTGTGTAATTTTTACTGCTGAAAGTTTAAACAAAGAGCAAGTCCATAAATGCACAGCTCCACAAATCCCATACTAAGCAAGCCAGTGACAACAGTGGTGAAAAACAAAACTTCACTAATTGACGAAAGTGAAGGGAAAAAAAAAAAAACCTTGAGAGGAAGCAGGCTCAATTGGGCACGACCATTTCTCCTTTGGCCAAACAATAACAATGGCTGAGTGAACTCAGCATGTGCAAAAATTAAAAAATAAAATAAAAAATAAAAAACACCAGCAAATTAAGAAAACATCTTCATTGGTTTGACAGCACACATGAAGCAATCCTTGCCATGCCACGTTACACAAATAGAAAACGTGTTATTGTGATATTGTGATAAATGTGATATTCCAGTATTGCGCATAAATTTATTTGCATGATTTGGATGGAAACATAGCTTATGATAAATATTTATATTAACATACATTGCCAGACCTTCCACTAATAGCTTGTGCAAAAACATGGTCGGCAAATTAAAAGTTAAAAAAATTCCTTAAAAAAGCACACGTGAAGCTGACACTACAAAAATCTAAAACAAAGCTATTGTTTTCATCAGAAGACATTTGAACAATCTTGGAAAAACCCTCTGAAGAAGTGAATCTTCAGAACTTTAGTTTACTTTTCCTCTCTTGGATTCTTTTGTACTCTGACCTTTGGAAGATGGTCTTAATAATGAGACATTGTTACAGACCAGAGGGAGTCTTACACTCACTCTCTCTTTATCAGAACAACTCCCGTTCCAGACGTTCTCACAGTGTGCCTCATATGCCGCCAGTATGCTGAAGGGCTCAGGCCTGCTTCTGACTGTAATTCAATGTGACTCAGAGCGCTTTAATGCTGTTTTACCACCCAAAGATCCAACCCTCGAATTCCTCTCTCTGAGAGCTCAGCTTGAGTCACCAGGGAGCTTGGAGAACTTCATGGACAGATGTGAAATGAGGATCAGCATCTTATATTTATGACCCCTATGAAACATATCCCTTTCAGGATATATCCAGCAACATCCAGCCAATTATAAGAAATCCTTCAAAATTCATAATAATCTCTCAAATATAGACAGTGAAGCTTTTTTTATGCTATCAACTTTTGTTGCCGAATTGTTTACATTTGGTCTGAGGTTTCCAAATGGGGTTGATGTGAATACAAACACATGCCTCATGAGAGAGACATAAAATGATTGAAAATCCTGCATCCAAAAAAGCTGTGTGAACTCCAAAAAGAGCAGAGAGAAGAGAAGTCTGCTGGAGCCAAATCTGTATTGTTTGTCGGAAACCCCCAAATTACAGATCTCCCCTTGATGACTTGGTGATAAAGAGTAGCATGTGGTGAAAAGAGGCAGATGTTGATGAACCCCCAGGGAATCATGGAGAATATAATGTACCTTTAAACACTGGATAGAGATTTGATGACCGCTGAATAAAATGTCTTTATTGGCATATTTGGTTTCATAAAGTTTTAGCCACCCTCAAACGATCCAACATGTAGGCTACATTTTCCTCTTCAGTAGACCAGTGAATAAGATGAAGGCTACCATCAAAAAAAAAAAAGCAAAAAAGAAACCTTTACAGGCAAAACAAAATGATGTGGCTCATGGTGGCACATTGAGGTCTTACCAATGATCAGTCTACACAAGGAGCAGTGTTGTTTCAACACAATCTCACGGCAATTCATAACTTTTTGATTTAGTGGCTAATTCGCACGAATTCGTATACAATCTAATTCCTACATTTTAGTACGATTTGCTCATCCCCCAATGACGGTTGGGTTTAGGGGTGGGGTTAGGTGCCACACCTCCTTTTTAAAATCGTACAATTTCTTTTGACTAAACTCGTATGAATTCATACGAATTAGCCACTAAACTGCCAAAACGTAAAATACTAAACGTTTTCTCGTGAGATCAGGCTGGTTGTTTATAGCAATCTTCAAAAGGCATTTAACTTCTTTCACCATTATAAAAAGTAACAATTGGTTTCTTAGTTTTTCTCAGTTGCTTTGGCTCAATTCTTGAATGAAAGTTTTATTTTTCAAAAGAATAAGTTTAGATCTCTGAACAATTAGCTTATTGTTCAGCTCATAGTGGCATTTTTTATTGATTTAAGCAAATTTCAAATGCTTTGGCACATGTGCAAAAAGCAAGTACAAATTTCTGTAGTTTGGACAAAACCAAATTGCATTTGACTTGTTGATCAAAACTGACAGGTCAATTCTCATTTAAATAGTCAAAACTTCTCACAACTTCTCAATCAATTTTCATCAGCAATTTGTACACACACAAACATAAATATTTGGATATCGACACAATTCTAACATTTCTGGCTCTGTACTACAACACAATCGATTTGAAATTAAACGAACAAGATGTACTTTAACTGCAGACTGGCAGCTTTAATTTGAGGGTATTAATATCCAAATCAGTTTGCATATGTGCCTCCCACTTGTTAAGGGTCCAAAAGTAATTGAAATAAAATAATAATCATAAATCAAATTTTCATTTTTTAAAACTTGACTGCAAACACCAAACACCAGATCACCAAACACCAGATACCCATTCCTGGTGGTGCTCTGCCAGGCCTCTACAGCAACTGTCTTCAGTTCCTGCTTGTTCTTGGGGTATTTTCCCTTCAGTTTTATCTTCAGCAAGTGAAATACAAGCTCACTCGGATTCAGGTCAGGTGATTGACTTGGTCATTGCATAACATTACACTTCCCCAAAAAAAAAAAAAAAAAAAAACCCATCCAAGTAATAAAAAAAGAAAATTTGATTTATAATTATTATTGTTAGAATTGTGTCGATATCCAAATATTTATGGACCTAAATGTATATATATATATATATATATATATATATATATATATATATATATATATATATATATATATATGACCACAGCACAACTGCATTCACAATCCTGAACTGCAGTAACATGCTTGTGGAAGAGAAATGGAAAGAAGTTTAATCTCTGGCAAAGTCAACAAGAGCGACAGGATGTCCACTAAAACTTGTTTTTTCTTGGATGTTTATTTTGTAGTGTTTTTATTTATTTGTGGTAACATAAGAAATATACAATAGAGTTATTGGACAAGCAAGATTGATCTATGCATGTACTACATTTGTACTCAAATAAATGTACTGTATAAATTCATTTTTTTCTATGTACTATTGACTCTTCTCAATAAAAATCAGATTTTTTAAAACCTTCATTTTCATGGTGAAAAAACAACTAATCATTTTGACAAGTGTGGCTCACATAATCAGAAATGCACTATGTTTTTGGCCAAATTAGTGATACAACAAGTTGGTTTTGAAGCATAGATTAAATGTTTCGGGTGAGTACATTTTGCAGACATGCTACAAAGTTCTGAATTTCCAACAAATCGTTTTGAGATTTTCACACAGTTTAGAGAATGTTAAGTCTGTTTTGAAAAATGTGCTAAAGCAATTGAGGAAAAACTGTAAAGTGAGTAAACCCACTGCCTTAAAACCGACATGTTGACTTTGTTAAAAAAAGGGAGTAAACCTGTAACTTGAATCTTTTATGTTAACATAATTTGTACAACTGCGCACAATGAATTTACCAAATAATTATAAGACAACAGGTTTACTCACTTTTTAAATAACAAATCTGTATATTTAAGTCAACACATCACTTTTTACATTGCTGGTAAATAGCACAAACAAAAAAAAGTAATTTTACATCTTTAGTTTTATAGGTCAGCATCAGTAGGAATAGGATATTTTGGTCTTAAAGAAAGAAGAAGTGAAATTTAGTCAAAATTAACTCTGCTTTCTGTAAGTGACAGCATGTGTCCATGCAAACAAACAACCATAACTATTTGTTAACCATCTGCTTAAAAACCTCTGCAACTTTTCTCCATGCTTGCATAGGAACCAAATCCATTTGAATGCAAATCTTTACTTTCAACATCTAACGCTGTCCACAAAAATTACAGACTGGTCTTATGACATGACAGCTAATAATACTGTGACATACAAAAATGTACAATGATCAGCAAATCCCAAAATAGAGTAAAGCTAAATTTGAGAATATCAACATGAATGGAAACATAAAAATGAATGTATCATTAACACAAATGCCAAAATAAAATTTAGGGAAAACACAGAGCAATTACAACACTTAGTCATTCATTTGGAGAGCAAGCTTTGCTTAAAGATTTATAAAGTTTAACAGTGATTGAAATCAATTTATAAATGCATGGGGAAAGAAAGAAAGAAAAAAAAAACACTTAGAAATATCATTTAAATTCCAAAATAAAAAGCAAGTACTAATACTGGTGAATCATTTCCAGAATGTCTGAAATGCATCAAGGAATAAAAACTTTACTGCCAAAGTTTGTTGGACTTCACAGTGAAGCATAAACTGCTCTAGATGGTCCTTGGTAATGCAATTGGTGTGCCAACAATTAAAAGAAAAAATCTAACAATCACAGAGCATAAAACAAATGAGGAAAAAGAGATGATTTCATATGGATCATGGGCCAGCTTTTTGTAAGTCTTACGTATTCCTATGCACTTTTTGAAATGATGTTCATGAGTTGCGTGCTTTATATCGCTCTAAGTGCTTTGTGAGATCCTCAATGCGTAGGTCCTTAAGATGCACAAGGTGCTCCAATCGGTTTACTTTAATCTGTAAAATCTGGAGCAAAGTTAAACATTTAGTTGGTATTCAACAGCGGCTGTAAGTGTACGATATAACATTTGCAAACCAATTGCTTTGCAGTGATACAAAATGACAAACAAAAGCTGATGTCACAATCACAGTGACATTGAGCAGTGTAATTTCCTTCCGTAGAAACTGACTAGTTGATACAGAAATTGATAACATTTCCAAAAACTAGGCCGTTACTGAATTTCCTTGTTTTTTTAAACTGAAAAATGCAAAAGTTGCAGTTCTCTATCTAATGTGTTAATGCAACCTTAACATTTAGCTTGATATACAGTAATTGGTGGGTGACAAATCTCACAGCTGCTGAACTCACAGTGACTCGGTAAACATTTTTGCAAACTCTATCACATTTGCATCAGTGACAGGAAGAACATGTGACCTGCAGCCCTTGACCAATTGCCTGCAGAAAAGCACAGGAAGGACAAATTTCCTTTTGCGACATAAGCATCTCTCGCCACCTGCCATTGTTTGCTAAAGGTGCTGAAACTAACTTGATAGGTTTTGGGATTGCCAAGTCATAATAGAAATATCAATATTTTTGAAAGATCTCAAGAAACAAAGATTTAAAATTAATTCCTACTTTAAACGTATTAGTTTAAGTTTTGAAATATTTCTTTCTTTCCTTTTTTTTTGGATTTATGGACATATGAAATTGGATAATATTTTTTCATTCCTTTTCCTTTGGCTTAGTCCCTTATTTATCAGGGGTCGCTACAGCGGAATGAACCGCCAACTTTTCCGGCATATGTTTTACACAGCGGATACTCTTCCTGCCGCAGGACAGTACTGGGAAACACCCACACACTCCCGCATTCATACACACATTTGACCAATTTAGTTCATCCAATTTACTTATAGCGCATGTCTTTGGACTGTGGGAGAAACTGGAGCACGCAGAGGAAACCCAGGTCAACACGTGAAGAACATGCAAACCTTCTTGCTGTAAGGCAAAATTGCTAATCACTGAGTCACTGTGTCGCCCAAAAATTGGGTAATAACTACACTGTAAAATTAGATTAGTTTAGGCTATTTAAAAAAAAAAAAAAGAGTAAACTTGTTACCTTATAATTGTTAAGTAAACAAACTATTCTAATGAAAATCAAATTGATGCTTTTAAGACAACATGTTTGCTCACATTTTTAAAGTAAATTAACTAATAGTTTTTTACAGTGTAGGTACTGTACAACTATCCCTAAACCTATCCCTGAACCTACTCTTATGACCTAACCTTTAATAAGGTAACTATACTGTAAATACATGTAAATTACACATACTTTAAAATAAATAAATAAATAAAAATGTAATGTGATGCATACAGTTGAAGACAAAATTATCAGCCCCCTATAAAATATTTCATTATTTTTCAAATAACTCCCAAGTGCTGTTTAATTGACTAAAGATTTTTTCAACACATAATTTTTAAACATAACAGTTTATTCAGAAAGCTTCGAGTGTTTGTAATACAAACAGAAACACAATTTTAATCAAATATAAAAAAAACTTGCAGGTCAAAATTATTAGCCCTCTGATGTTAATAGTCAATAGTGTAATCCTTTTGCTTGACAACAGCCATCAGTCGTTTATTGTAGCTCTCAACAAGTTTCAAGCATGTCTCCTGAGGAGTGTTAGCCCATTCTTCCTTAGCAAATCTCTCAAGCTCTTCCAGATTTGTTGGTCTTCTGGCATGAACTCTAGACTTCAGTGTCCCCCACAGATTTTCTATTGGGTTCAAGTCTGGGCTTTGTTCAGGCCAGTCAAGGACTTTCACTTTGTTCTGTTGGAGGTAGTTCTTTACAAGAAGTCATGTATGCTTTGAGTCATTATCATGCTGGAATACAAAACGTCGACCCAAACCAAGTTTTGTTGCAGACTGTTTGAGGTTATTTTTCAAAATCTTCTGGTAGTCTTCCTTTTTCATGTTTCCTTCAACCCTGGTACGATTCCCTGTTCCAGATGCACTGAAACATCCCCATAGCATTATACTCCCACCGCCATGTTTCACTGTGGGAACAGTGTTCTTTGGATTAAATGCCTCTCCCTTCTTCCTCCAAACATAGGCAACATCTCTATGGCCAAAGAGCTTTAGTTTTGTCTCATCTGACTAAACGATACATTTCCAGTATTCATTATTTTTCTCTAGATTGTCCCTGGCAAACTTCAGTCTAGCTTGGAGGTGTCTCTTTTTTAAAAGTGGAGTCTTTCTTGGTCGACAACCTTTCAGTCCACTCCTGTGCAGGGCTGTAGTGACCGTCTTTGCTGAGACATTAATTTCAGACTTGGCTAAGTCATTCACTAGTGTCTAGGCAGTTGTTCTTTGGTCTTTAGAAACCTCTCTTACTAATTTTCTTTCCAAAGTTTTGGAAATATTTCGCTTTCTACCTCTGCCAGTCATGTTCTCCACGGTGTGGATCTCATTAAACTTCTTGATAATACTTCTCACGGCACTTCTTGACACTTGAAAGCACTTTGATAAACATGTATATCCTTCTCCTTCTTTGTGAGCCTCAACAATTCTTTTTCTCAAGTCTAAAATTATATCTTTTGTCTTTGTCATGATAACAGAATGCACTATCGAACTATTTGTTTTTCAAGACAGCAGTTTTAAGCCTCAAATGCAATTTAAAGGCTTAATTAGGTTAATTACCTTAACTAGGCAAGTTAGGGTAATTAGGCAAGTCATTGGACAACAGTAGTTTTTTCCTGGAGCCAATCAAACAAATAATTACTTAAGAGGGCTAATAATATTGACCTTAGCAGTTTTTACTTAAAAAAAAATAAAAATTATTTCACCCAAACTAAAAGAAAAAAAAACCTTTTCCAGAAGAAAAATACAAAAGGAAATGCCGTGAAAACTATTTTCTTGCTCTGTTCAACAGCACTTGTGAAATATTTGTAAAAGAATACAAATTTCATAGGAGGGCTAATAATTTTGACTTCAACTGTATATGACTGTAATTGGAAAAAAATTGGACCTGTGAATTTGTTCTACTCATGGGGTATTCATTTGATTTTGAGATGTGGCCATTGAAAAAGCATTTAAATGGAGTCATTTCAGCAGTCTAGTTTAATCTTTAAATTGTGACACATGATGTCAAACAATTGACAAAATAAGACATGCTTAAATTAATTTACAATAGGATTAAAATCTTGTTTCTAGTAAGTATATTTTCCTTCCATGCTTACATTCACCAATAAAGCAACTGTAAGCATAATGACTGTTTTCATGCAGGTTTACCAAACCATCCCCCATTTTGGTCTGCAGATATATTGAACAATGTTGAAAGTGGCAGAAATCAACTGTCCCACATGTACCTGCCTGCATAATTAACTGGATTTTAAAATCAAATATAGGATTAAAAACTTACACCAACAGTCTCCTGTAAAGCCAAAATGGCCTGCTCCTTTTCCTCCAAAAGCAAACGTACAGCTGGATCCACATTTGGTCCAATGGTTCCAGCAGCCCTATGCAAGATTAACAACAACTGAATTATAAATTTGTACTTGATTCACATGCTTACATTAATGACTGCATTAAAAAACATTTTAAACAAAATCACATCGCTTGATACCTGACTTTCTCTGTTTTCTTCACAGTAGCTGGATTTAAATGACTGGGTTCAATAACCATCACATGATTCCCTGCAGGAATTTGGGAAAACAAAGACATTGAGACTTTACCCTTATGAAACCCTGCTTCAATTTCCTCTAGCGGAGTGCAGCTCCCCCATACTTGAAGATTTGAATGCTCGTGAGAATTGCTTAGCCAGGAAGACTAAACTAATTAGACTCCATTTGAACCTATTAAACACAATAAGGTCAAATAGACACATTGACGCGGCACCAGACTGTAACTACAGAGCAGGAGTTTTATTTGGCTCTAAGCTTCGAATCATCAACACCAGCTGTGCTTCACCTTATAAACATCCCATAAGGATAAAATAACAGGTTGAAATTGAACAGCACCTACTGAAAAAAGAAAAGTTGAAAACACAGGACTCCTGTTGCCTCAATAGAAGAGGTCTGTGCTTTGATAATAAAATATATCAGAACTAATCTCGCCACTCTGGTCTCATAATAGACTTAATAATAGTATACTCTTGGCTTGAGTTTGCTGTGGACGAGAAAAGCTTTTAGCTACATGTGTTGAGCCTGTTGGAAGCGATAAGAGTGATCTGGTGAATTGAGCTGAGGGGTGCAGAAACTTTTCAATCATGAAAAGCATGAGTCAAACCTGAAACCAGATGATGCCATGACTAACCCAAGATGATGATGAGGTGTGAAAAATAAAGGAGGTGACATCATTTATTCTATGTTAAGTGTGCTGACAATGCAGTGCATTTGCCCAAAAACGCAGCTGGAAAATACTTGGTTAAAAGCGAAGTCATGATTTGTTTTCGAATGCTTTAACTTTCAATGTATGTACAAAAAAACTGTTGGCATACATGTGTGAAAATACAACAGGGTGAGTTGATAAAAATCTTATTTTTGGATGAACTAAAGATAACACAAACCCATCTCAAAATACACTTGGTGACACTTTCTCAAGAAATGCTGCTCGTCTTAAGGGCATAAATAAACTTCTATGTACTTGCAACATCTAACTTGCAAATTTTAAAGTTTTTTTCCATTTACTAAGGCAAGAGCTTAGTTTTTTTTGAGTATTATGAGTTTATCTATAACCACAGACACCAAGAACGCTTAGCTTCCTTAAAAGTCTCATGCTGACACATCCTCAGGAGTTTAGATTAAGCAATGGCTTTAATCTCTACTTTTGGTAGCATCAAAGAATCACCATATTTGATCATACACCAATCTCACTCCGGCTACTTTCTGTAGATGTGTGCTGACTGAGGGTGACAATGTGACTAATTTTAGGTAAAGGAGGTGGTGCATAAATGAGATCATTCAAACATACTTTATTAATTTTTTTCCTGTGACACAAAAAAGTCCCGGTGAAAGGGATCAAGTGCCCATCAGTAGTGCCTTTAAAAAAAATTTTAACGCCTATGTCTCTGCAGTAACAGGCTGTCATGTCAAACTCCTTGAAGTTTTAGTCCATTCATTCATTTATTCATTCATTTTCTTGTCGGCATAGTACCTTTATTAATCCGCGGTCACCACAGCGGAATGAACCGCCAACCTATCCAAGTTTTTACGCAACGGATGCCCTTCCAGCCACAATCCATCACTGGGATACATCCACACACACATTCACACACACTACCAACAATTTAGCTTACCCAATTCACCTGTACCCACGTGAAGGCAGGGAGAACTCCACACAGAAACGCCAACTGAGCCGAGGTTCGAACCAGCGACCCAGCGACCTTCTTGCTGTGAGGCAACAGCACTACCTACTGCGCCACTGCCTCGCCTAAAGGTCACAGAAACGGCCAATGTGGGGCTCGAACCCACGACCCTGAGATTAAGAGTCGCACGCTCTACCGACTGAGCAGAATTGTTAAGGCAGAATTGTTAAGCAGACTGTCCCATTAAGTTACAAACTAAGGCATATTCAATAGTGGAGAGACTTTTATAAAAATAAATGAAGCTTAACTTAAAACCCGAGTTACTGCGTCTGCCACTAAAACACACCACAGTCCAGGGGTGCTCACCAGGACATGAACTCCACGTCAGACCTCCTCTAAATTATCTTTCCTGCTCTACTCTACTTGGGAAGCAAGAGCCATATTTATATGCATAATATATGTTTTAGAGCATCTACCTGATCCCTGCTGTCCATCTGAAGTGGTGTAATACTCCAAGTCCTATAAAAACAATTATAAAGGATCATAACTTCGACAGTGTGACTAAACCTTGCATGTTAATACTAAATTCAGTGCCAGACTGAAAAGGAGGAAATAATACAGAAAGATGCAGAATAAAAATAAAAGTTCTCACCTGTGCGCTATCTGGTTGTTTTCCTTCTTTCTTTTCCTCGATCTTCTCTCTCAAAGAGCAAAGGGCTGGTTCAATGTAGCCTGGTGTGCTCACTACAATTTTTTTCACCGTGTCCTCAGGTATATGGAAGTTTAGCTTGGAGAAAACTTTTCTAAAGAAAATTTACGATTTAAAAAGGAGGGCAAATTATTTAAATTAAATAATGATATTACATATAAAAATGTAGCGTTGTGTTTTCTTCATTCGTGTTTTAAAATATATACTGTAGTCCTACCAAATAATTATGTATTGAAAAGATGTCTAATAGATTTCCACATGTAGACATCTTGGTTAAAACAAGGATAAATTGAAAATCTAGTGAAAATCTAAATATCCAAATATAGACTACTCATGTTTCCCAGTGGTGGGTTGCAGCTGGAAGGGTATGCGCTGCGTGAAACATATGCTGGATAAGTTGGTGGTTCATTCTGCAGTGGCGACCCCAGATTAATAAAGGGACCAAGCCGAATATAAAATAAATGAATGGATGAATGAATGAATGAATGGACTACTCATCAAATACACACATTAGACAGACTTTAAACGTGTAATGACTCATTCTTGTCTTTTTGTTGACCATTTTTTGGCCTACTGTTACATTTTACATTGTGTTAGAGAAGACATCCATGTTTGGACGTCTATTAGACATCTATAAAACACATAAAATCCAAATTGTGCTGTATAGTGACAAACACCCCTAAGCTTAAATAAAAACGTACTGTAAGATGTCGCACTAAAACATGTGTAGGCAGCACACTAGGTCTTAGGACTCATTCAGTGTTAATAGTTTTTGAGATCTTAAAATTGTTATTGCTGAGGTGTAAAGTCGCATTCCCGTAATCCTCGGGGAATCTTCACGCGACACGCAGGGTCAGATAAGCAGAGCGCTGTTTGCATTGCTGTCTGTGAGTGGAGAACAAATAAATACACTCGCCTGTTGAGGGTGATCCAGTTACTCTGCTTCTGCTGCGTGGAATGTGCGGGCGTGTAGTTGTGCAGCTCCACCAGCTTAGGGAAGAAATGCTTCACCACTTCAGCAGCCATAACTGCTTGCGCAAATCGATAAAATGCAGTGGAATATACTGTATGCTATATTGATAATTTGCTAAAAGTCTTAAAATAACATCATGACCACGTATAAAAATGTAACTTTCTTTACAAACATTAACCACGGGTTTGCTTAAATTAAACCTGAGGGTATCACTGTCAACAAACATAAAGGGCTAAATAACAAGTGGTTTTGTTTGTTACCAGGATGAATTCATTAACGTTACCTCCATCGCTAAAATCTCGTGTTATGTTGCGTTTGGGTCTGGAGAGCGGTATCTTGTCTATCCACGCATAAAGGTCTTGCAAGGTTTCTTCGTCTAATTGTTTTGGCCCGTCCATAATTTAAAACGAGCCTTTGAGTAATCAAAACCAACTATTATTTCAGGTGTATCATTAAAATGTTTGACCTGTTACTAGGCAACAAAATACAGGGTGCCGTAGAGGTCATTTCGCTCACTTGAAAATGCGATTTGAAATATTAAATGAGTATAAAGACATTTTGAGAAACGTGAAAAAGTTTATTACAGTACACAGAATAAAAAAGAGAGCATTCTCACATTTAAAGAGTAAAATCAGCCCAGCTGAGATCATTGCAAACTTGAAGTCTAAACATTAGGCGGGCAAAACAAATGTTTGCCTTAGTCTGAGTGCAAAAGGATCACAAGAAAAACGTATGAAAGTTAAATATTGTAAAAAGGAAATGAGGTAAACAAGACCAAATAGATAAAGTATGTTGAAATTACAAGAAATTACCTAAAATAATGAAAATAAGATTTCAATTTAAAGATATAAAATGCCAAATACATGACGTTTCAGAAACATGAATGAACACACTTTTATACTGCATGACAGACTCTTTCCTTTCTCACTTAGTAGACTTACATGGAGTCAGTCAGAAACTGCTGACTGTAAACAGCTGAATAACATTCTTTAAAATTAAAATAGCCTAAAATAAATAGATAATAAAGAAAGCACAAAATTCAGCAGACGACAGTACAAACAAATCGTACCAAATCAGTAAAGTGAGTGATTCCTTGAGTGCAAATTCGGTCACCATCTTTCCCTTCCTTAACGTCATCTTACTATTCAGAGCCACACCACAAAGAAAGAGCTTTGTTCAGCTCATGAACCGCTTCTTCTGAGGCTCCCAGTGATTCATAGTAACTCATACTGCTCCAGATCATCTGGGCCACGCTGGAGGTTTCAGTGCAACTTTCTGGATTACCTAAAGTAGATGCAAAAGAGATTTTAAAGCACTGACATTCATTCACACAATTAGACTGTATAAACGCTCAAAAATATTTGAATTAAGAGACAGTTCATTATTCAATTAATTTTGTCATCACTTGTTACTCAACCACTGTTTAACACAAAACAAGATATTCTGAAGAATGTTGAAGCCTTTGGCATCCATAATGGGGACAAAAAGGTTGAAAAAAAGTTTAATGAGGTCAATGGCTAATGAGGTCAATTCTTCAGAATATCTTCCTTTGTGAACAACAGAAGCAATAAATCTCATCAAGATTTGTAACTATTGGAGTATGAGATTTTATGTAAATCTCTTTAAGATATTTCACTATGCAAAGTGATAAAAGATTACCTGAGGTGGAGTGAATACTGGCTGAGGCCCGCTGGGTTTCACAGGAGGCACTGGAGGTGATTTGGATTTAGTCACCTACAGTATATGCAAACAAATAGAGATATTTGTATGTTATTTATGTAATATAGAGTGCAGCAAATTGAATCAAGACCAAATCTTTTAGAAAAAATGTGCTCTTACAGCTTTAGATGCCAGTGGTGGTAATGGTCTTGAAGGAGGCAGGGGTTTAGCTGCTGGCAGTAGGGGTTTTGCCTAAAACAAAATTTAGACAAGACATAAGTCTCACAACACTCTTTAGTTTCACAAGGACAAACTGCTTTACCTTCATATCATTTCTGAAGTGAGCTTAGTCATTAAAAGTACCTCCATTAAATTGACAATTATATGGACTATTATTATTCAGTACTGTATGTACACTACTGTTCAAAATTTAAAGAGGATTTGTAAATCATTCTAAAAGAAGACTTTTCGATGTTCACATTTATTTGATTATAAATATATTGAGAAATATAACAAATATTACAAAAATTACAAAAATATTACATAAAAAATACTATATTTTAAAAATAAATATTATTCTATATACTAAAATTCTAATCATTCTTATAATTGCAGAATTTTCAGTCCTCAGTGTCACATGACTCTTCAAAAATAATTTAATTATTCTAATTTGGTTAACAAAAATGTGTTAATAAACTATCCTTATTTATTTAATGTAAATATCTTTTGTACCATTTTATATGTCTTTCCTGTCACTTTTGATCAATTTACCGTATTATTGCTGAATAAAAGTATTTCTTTATTTCCAAAAAGCATTACCAAAATACCCAACTTTGTAAATGCTAATTAAGATTTTCTCACCTGAGGAGGATAAATATTTTTGGAAATGGCAGAAGGTGGTACAGGAGGCTTCATTATCTAAAAAAAAAAAACATGTTTAAACATTAAAGATTTTTATTCAGGAATAGAATCAAATACAAATGCTTAATTGTTGCAGAAGATGAACTACCTGTTCATTTCTGGTCTGTGGTGCATTCTTTGGAGGCTGTGCGTAATGCAAAAAAAAGTGGTATTTAGATTTATATTCAGTAATTTCCTTCATCATTTATTCTAAAAATAACATTCAATACAAAATATAAAATTAAGCAGCTCATTTCAAGCCTAAATTTTACCATTGGTGCTGGTCTACAGGGCATAGCCGCAGACCGAAGAGGTTTACAGGCCTGAGTAGCAGACGACTCAAGGAAAGTTGGTTGACTGATACGTGGCTGTGCAATTCTGGGGCTGTTCTTTGCGCTTCCTGGTTGAAATGCAGGATTGCATTGGCCTGAAGAAGAGTGGATGCCCTTCTGTGGCCTTTTAGAAAAAGAAAGTGCTACTTTAATCTCAAAACAATTGTAATGCATACAACCATAAATGAATGATCACAGAAATCAATAAGACGTCTTACCTTTTCTTTCTAAATTCTGTTATTTTGTTTCTGTTATACACCAGCGCTCCAATAATAATGATCAGCACAAGGATGGCTAAAGATGTAGTAACACCAATAACCACAGATTTTCTCACTGAAGATGAAAATCAGACAGTTGACAGTAAATAGAATTAGTTTTCGGTTGAATACCTTGAGGTAATTCAGAATATAATGGAATGTAATTGTTTTACTTTTGTGAAGTTCTGAGAGTTGAATATCACAATAGGGTGGTGCCCAGCCTGGATCGCAGTGACACTTCAACTCGTGGTTGCACACCTTTAAAATATAAGTAGACAATAAAGTTACATGTGTTTATGCATTCAACAATATATTTTCCAGACAAGACAATATACTGTTTTTAAAACGACTTATTAATAGAACACAAAATGAATTTATGACAAGCAGGACATTATAACTTTAAAAATGATAAATACACTTTAAAATAAATAAATAATAAAATTTATATACATAAAAACGAAAAGTTAGAATTAAATCATATACCCCACGATTGTTGCATTTATTCGAGCAGTTCTCAGTGCCGTACATACTGATATCGAGGCAAAGGCTTTTGTAACACACCTGTTGATTGAAAAATATATTGGAAATAAATGAATAAATAAAGCTTTTGTCCACTGGGTATTTTTACACATTGATTCTTTAATGACCTTATTTGTGCCACATTTGGTGCCTGTAGGAACCATGCCTAAGTCTTCTGTGGGTGATGAATCCAAAGCCATGTAGCAGGTTCTTGATTGAACATTTACATTTGCTTTTTTGTTGGTTTTTGGAAAAGGATTCCCACCATAACAGTATATTCTCCCACATTTTCGGTGTCTATAGGTTTTTTTTAAAAAGTCTTGTTAGAAAACAAAAGTCTTTAGCCTTCAGCCATCAAAAAAAAAGGAAGGTTGAACTTACTCAGCGCTTTTGGAGGTTCTGTCAATCACATTATACTGAAAGCAGGCGTCATCATCCACATCAGCACCTAAGCACAGGGATATTACAGGTTATAGCAAAAATACTTGTATGAAACTTCATTTAATAAAAAAACGCTGATTATTAAACACTGAAATAGTAAAACAGTAGTAGTAAATGATCCATAATGCAGTATTTGAGAAATGAGTACCTGATCCCCACAGCATCTTGCAGTGTTCCTTGTGTGTTGGACATTGTCCGTTGTAACAGTATCCCTGATTATAATTGCAGGGGAGTCCATTCATCTTATAATCATCTTCAGGACAGAAAGCTGACTCTCCTGTACAGTATTCGTCCAAATCACAGTCGTGAGCACTTTTTCTGCACAGGCTGCCTGTATGTTTCAGCTAGAATGGCGGATGAATGAGACAAACTGAGATGTAATTTACTTTCACATGTTCAGAACAAGTTCAAAATTGTGTTCGGTATTGAGTCTGATGGGCAGCTTTTCTGATACCTGGCAATTGTGGCAGCACTCGCCATGTGCACAACGGGCACCTTCAGTTAGTCGACAAGTGGTGGCATTACAGCAGGGGTTGTTGCATTCCTAAAATCATATCAGTTTTCATGGGTCAACAAAATGCATGTTTTTTTTGCTGAACACACAATTACTTAAATGTTTTTTTAAATATAACTTTTTTCAGCATGAAAAATTAATGGGTTAGTTCACAACACAGTGAAGATGTTGTACTTATTTATTCACCCTCATGTGATTATAAACTTTAAGTAATGAGTACCTCAGTGCACAAATGAATGTTTTTTTATGAAATCAAAAAGATTTAAGAATTATTATTAACAAATGTTCCTCTAGGACCACAGCATCCTATTAGAATTCATTCTGAGAGATTATGTGACACTGAAAACTACTGGTTATAGGAAAATATTCTATATTTAGAATATATTACAATAGAAATCAGTTAATATAACAGTTATTGTACTTTAAACTATATTAACATTTACAATAGCTGTTTTACTGTATTTTGTAAACACATTAGAAATTTACACCTTTTGAACCACTAACTGAGACACAAAACTTTCATCATTAAAAGAAACCGCAAACCCAAAATGAAGATTCATTTTATTAATTATCATTGTTTAATTCACCCAAATGCCATTCCACTAGCAACAGGTGATGTGGACTTATATAATAACAATATTTTTTTATATTTATTGTGATAATGATATTAATGATGATATAATTCCACTGAGAGACAAAAGAGTCATGGGTCTTTGGAGAAATAATAAATTGTCATATATATAGTGTGTGTGTGTGTGTGTGTGTGTGTGTGTGTATATATATATATATAGACTCAAATACACACATCAATTTTAGTGATGTCATGCTGTAACTGAGAAACCAACATTTTTTTTTTTTTATATATAAACAAAAGTGACAAACCTCAACAGTTCCGCAGTCACACTCCTCGCCTTTTTCAACGAAGGCATTTCCACAAACTGGACCTCCATATATCTGACCCTCATTTGGCACATCTATTAGACAGTTGGTGTCATAGTTCTCCAAAAACGCCTTTAAAGATGACTGACTGCAAGTACTGAATGAATCTGGGTAAATAGACCTGTTGGAAGAGTATGTAAGAAAATTATGGTCAGTGAACGACTTAAAATGCTATGCAATGCACTCGATTATCTAGAGTTGAACGTTATGATCTCATTCTACCATTCAGCATAGAGTCTGAAAGCCCCGCCCTCCTACTGCGTAATGATAGCTGCAACAGTTGAGTGCACGAAGTGTCCAGCATTCACACTTTGTTATTACAATTAAGAACATATATCATCAGCATATTTAAAGTTCATTTTTGTCTATTGGGGGCTTTTGACTAAACACACTGATTATAAAAAATATATATACAGTTTATATAAATAATATACATTTTTATAATGTTTGCACTTTAGTTTGCAAACATATGCAGTAAGATGTGTGTATACACACACCCACGCACGCACGCACGCACACACGCACACACACACACACCTCACTGCATATGTTTGCAAACCAATAAGTGATTCTCTCATGGCCTTGCATTTCTGAAGTATTTTTACTGAGACTCACCCAATGGTATCTCCCATAATGCAGCCCTTGTTAGAGGAGCATCCACAGCTTGAATCATCATGTGACATTCCCAGATTATGTCCCATTTCATGTGCAACTGTAGAAGCCACTGCAATGGGATTGCTGTTGTGGTCCTTTGAAAAGAAAGCACATCTTAATTAATGCTATTTACCACTACCTTCCAACATCAGTGATAAGTCTTAATCCATTATTTACACAAACAAACACACTCATAGGTATACCTCATTCACAGCACCAGAGGATGAAGAAGAGCACATTGCATATAATGTAGCCAACCCAACTGTGGACCCTTCAAAATCAATACCACTGAATAAAAAAAGAACAACGGTCATAAATGGATATTTCGCTGATATTTACAGTATGTTTGTCACACATGCTCCATGTAATTAGTAAAGCAATAATAATAAATTATGCAATATTGTGTGCAACTAACCCTTAAACATAAACCTAAACATTTAGTAAGCACATGCAGTTATTTAATATTGCACAGTACTTAAAATGTAGTTATACTATACTCATGACATCATGAGATATAACCATATACATTGTATAATAAAAATTGTTTAAAGGGAAAAATGCAGACAGTATACATGATCAACACAGAAGATTAAAATGAGCAATCAGTGACTCACGTAATAAAATGGGCATTATCATGTTTCTTCCTCTGAAGCAGGCTATCGCGACGCCATTTTAAAAACCGTTCCAGAGTAAGATTTGGCCTACTGCTGACATCAATTAAGTCTCTTTGAGACCAAACCTCCAGTCCAACCAACATGACACGTATGTTTAAAGGCCGGTAAAGCTAAAGGTAAGGAGGAAAATATTAAAAATATTACTTTGAAAATCCTTTTCACAATATATAATGTCATGCAGATCAAACAAATCAAAAGTCGTAGTATACCTTGTCTACGTGGTTTGCGACCAGCATCATTCTTTCTTCTATTTTCTTAAAACTTCCAAACTTCTTGTACTAAAGAAAATGTATTGATGAATTTTAATAATATAAACAAAACACTGCAGTCAATATCTATTTTTCATTAAACCACATTTCATACCTCTGTATTATCAACAACTAAAACCATCTCAACGATCTGCTGTCCTCCTCTCGGGGCTTTGTTTCTCTAAATGGCAGATGACATAAAGTTTTTGTCATAAAACTGGTAAGATAAAAAGATGCTGAGGTACAAATTAAACATTCTGCTTAATAATAATAACAATTCTCTCCATTGAAAACCGTCACTAAATATATGGTTAAATATAAAATGCTAAAAATATCACTGAAATAATTACAGCTTAGGTTTAATAACAGATTATTATAAAATCATTACCATATTTTTTCCTTTATACAGCCCACTAGACTTTGGGCCAAGGTCATAGACTGTGTCATTAATGTATCCATAGGCCCCTCGCTTGGTCCTTAAATGCTCTTGCTTGTAAATAGCATGGTCCCCATCCAAAGACTCTTCCAAGGGCTCTATCAAATAAACCTGATCGTTCACTCTCAGAAATCCTCTGTACAACAACAAGAATACATGCATTAAATATTAGTGGAAATTTTGTAAGCATTTGTCAATGTTTTCCAAAGAAATGCAACTGCGAATCAATGTTTTTACTCTACACAAAGTAGACATCAAGAATATTTAATATATATTTATGTATATTTTACAACATATTTGATGTTCAATCTATTCTTTTCAAAAGTTGCTTAATATTTAATTTTTCTTACTCCATTCCAGAACAAAGTCCCACGCTGACTGAGGAATCTTCAAAATTATGGATGTGTCCATGATAGTAGCAGTGATTCTGATATGAACACAAAAGACAATAGCATTAAGCTTCATATACACACACTGTGTCAAACATACAGCAAATTAACATGTTAGTTGAAAATTTCCACATACAAATTTGTTTGATGACTTTGTCTCGGAAATCCCATCTTCGCCATAATGTGTCAAAGTGTATTGTTTCCCTAAAAGTTCTCTATAAAACAAAGGACGAGTATAAATGCAATGCCTCCACATAGTATTAACATACATTGTTGCAATAGACAGTCCCATTCTCACCTATTTCTGTGCAAAGATATTGTCAAGTTTCTCCCATCTATAGCCACATCATATTCAAGTTGCTCAGGATATTTCTAAATAAATCAAAGCAAGCAAGCATGAATAAAAGTAACTCAATCATCCAGTGTAAATGTCAATAAGTCAGTTATTAAAGTAAGGACCTGGAGGGAAGAGGCGCTTCTTCTGGTTCTCCCTCTCAATGCCTGAAGCCGGACCACATCATAGCGCATCACATGAGGTAAAGCCTCCAGACTCTCTACAGCAACAAACAAATCACCACCACAGGATTAAATTACATGTAAAACACATCACGCAAACTGACATGACTCGCTGTTAAAGAATCCTCACATATCTGTGCGCTCACCCCATGTATAAACGAAAGAAAGCAGCGTTATAAATAGTCCAGTGTATCGCATGGCTCGCTGTGCTGTGTGTGCTCTCGCTCCGGGACTCGAGGGCTGCTGCTGCTGTCTGTGGGAACAAACTCGGGCTACTTGAAAGTTAAAGCTCCGCCTCGGTTATACGGTAAATTAGCATAGAAGTTTACGACCTCCTCATCCGGTAATAACAAACTGGTCAGTAATGAGTCACAGACCGGTCAATGTGACCGTTTTCTTATGAAGCATCAATATCATAATACGCTAAATAGTTAATAGTTATTATATCTGTATCTTAGGACTTTGTGATTGTTAAAATATAATATAATATAATTTAATATAATATAATATAATATAATTATTCATACATTTATTTATTTATTTTTATTCTTATGCGTTTGATTATTAATTTATCTATAATTAAGATTTTATTTATTTTCCATAATAAAACAGCTGACTTGTTTTTTTTTTTTTCAAATCTGTAACTGAAACAAAAGCTGCACAATCTGGTTAAGCTCCCAAGGTGGATTTTTTTTTTTTTTTTTTTGCATTGTCAACATTTAGCAAGATGGTATAATTGGACTATAAATGTATACATTACTATTCTTATACATAATTTGTGCTACTAAAAAAATAACTAAATATTACAGCACTAAATACTATATAGTCCTTTTAGTTTCTTTTTTTTTTACTTTTGACTTCTTTCTTGACTATTGTGATTTTGTTTATACATAGTATAACATTTTCTAAACAATTTGCATTAATAAAATGCTACTCTGGGCCTCCAGTGCCAATTAATTTAATTTATAATTAATTTTATTTATTACACTGATATTCTTTGAGGCACAACTTCACAAAAGCATACAAATTGTTTCAGGTGAATTTATGAAATTATAGGAAGAGCGGTTTTGTAAATTTGTGCTGAGATGAGATTTTGTCATCACCTGGAGGATGATGTCATTGAGGATGTGGGTTTTGTTCGTTATTACTAAAAGGATATTACAAAAGACTATCCGGGACAAAGAGTTCAACTGAAGACACAGGGAGAAAACTAAAAATTATCACCAAATAAATCCAGATGTTATATATTGATTGATCTTTTTTAAATATTTAACCTACTTTTAAAATAGTTATAAGCTATTATAAAAATAATTAGAGTGAAAATCCAACAATGAAGCACTTGACTATTAATAAATAGCCAAGGCAAAAATGCCATGAATAGTAAAAGTGACACATTTTTTACAAATATTTTAAAGCTTACTTCTTGCAGTGATATTTTCTTTAATACTTTAATATATGAGGATATGGCAACACGGTGGCCTCGGCTGGGTCAGTTGGCATTTCTGTGTGGAGTTTGCATGTTCTCCCCGTGTTCGCATGGGTTTCGTCCAGGTGCTTCGGTTTCCCCCACAATCCAAAGACATGCCGGTATAGGTGAATTGAATAGGCTAAACTGTCCGTAGTGTATGTGAGTGTGTGCAAGAGTGTGTGGGTGTTTCCCAATGTTGGGTTGCAGCAGGAAATACATCCGCAGCATAAAACATATGCTGGATAAGTTGCCGGTTCATTTCACTGTAGCGACCTCAGATTAATAAAGGGACTAAGCCGAAAAGAAAATGAATGAAAGAATGAATGAATGAGACCTGAAACTTGCCTTTAGTACTTATTCATTGTTGCTCTTGTGTAAATTGCTTCCTTGTCCTCATTTGTAAGTCGCTTTGGATAAAAGCGTCTGCTAAATGACTAAATGTAAATGTAAATGAATGAGGGTATTTTCCCAATGATGGGTTGCAGCTGGAAGGGCATCCGTTGTGTAAATCATATGCTCAATAAGTTGGCGGTTCATTCCTCTGTGGCAACCCTAAGTTAATAAAGGGACCAAACCGAAAAGAAAATGAATGAATGGGAATTTCAGCTGCATGAACACACGGTTGCAGCATCTTCGATAGGACAAACAGTCCGGAAAAGGGATCGAATTGCGAAAATAACTTTGCTGACATCAAGTGGTTATATTTTGCAGGTGCAGGTTTGTTTTTAGCTACTTTTATTTTGCTTTTATTTTTGTTTTGTTTTTTACGTAGTCTCACTTGTGTGTACAGACTGTTACAGCCTCCTATGGATGTATATATAATACATTTTTTAATTGGCTAACACTTTGTTTTGAAACAATATAAAAATGTATACTTTCTCGCAAGCTCTGGGTGCCGTCAATCCAATAAAGCGGCTTTTATTTTGAAAGGCTTTTGAACAGGCAATCGAAAGGCGGGTGCTCGCAGAGAGTATGTTTGTGTTAACTTATATTTAATAACATATAATGTTGCAACCCGAAATAATTGAATTTTTGGCCTCTACTACACCACAAATTCTGGCAAAGAACATACCGGTAACTGAAAACAGGGAATCCAAGAGGCATGATATACAACAAAAAGCCGAAGCTGGAGAAGAAAAAGCTGTATCACCTTTTGAATTCAGACCTCAACGACTTCGATTTGCTGTGGAAGATGAATATTTTGAGGTAAAACTATTGTGTTTTATCGGTTGCACTACAGGAAAGTGCCGTACAACGCATGTTTACTTCTCAGCGTGACGACGTGACCAGCAATGACATGTGTGATGTTTCTTCAACAGGATGGCGACATAAACAGACACATGTACCTACAGAATATCGTGACGTCATTTGTGGATGACAAACAGCCTCCAACGTGAGTGATTTTCTTACTGAGATGACTTTTGTTAATTATCAAAACCGCTAATAAATCAGAGTTTGTTAAACATTAAAGTATGTTTCATGTAGTTAGTTGGTGGTTTTGTTTTGTGTAGCTGTCAAATGTATCTTTTATGTGACTTCTGATGACTACTGATAGTATTAGTGTTGTCAGAATTAAAACAGTTACTGTGTATAAGGTAATTTGATTTTTACAGAGTTTTCAATCTTTTCCCAAATACAATCATTGTTCAATAAAAAGCCCCTGGGTGTTTTTTTTTTAAGTAAACTGTGTTTTTTTTTTTGGAAGTAAGCTGTGTTTTGTAAATGTGCAAGATTTCATTAGCTGTTGCAGGAAAATAATCAGAATAATTTCAAGGATCTGCATATGGTAAAAGTGTTTGCACCAGTGAGTTTACATTAATACAGTGCACTCAAGTTATACAATGTTATATGAATGCTAATCAAGCAGCGTGAAGAGCAATTTTATAAAGCTAAAAGTATAGCTGGCAGGAAAAGACACTGGAAAAAAACACTATCCCCTAGGTGAAAAATAAAGTGGATAAAGACCTAATATTTTTTATAAAGAATAAATAGTATATATGGATCTTTAATGTTCATTTAATTAATATTAATATTTTTTTATTTTTGTTAAGATAATTTCTTATATTATATGAGAGAGAGAGAGAGAGAGAGAGAGAGATTGAGTTTGAGATTGTTTACAATATATCATTTTTCTATTTATTTTTATTATTTTCTTTATTTGTTAGTTAGTATTTCATTTTTATTTATTATTTTATGAATTATATAAATAGTTTCTTTTATTACATATGATTTAAAATGACCATCATCCTGTTTATGAAGTATTTACTTATTTATTAATTGTCATTTATTTTATACTTTATAAGTTTTTCCCCCGCCCAAAAATTTTAATCATTTCCAATAGTGCTTCCTCCCAGCCTGCAGACCTATTTTAAAAACCTTTGTGCCAGTGAATTTCCACCATCAAGAATACAATTAATGACTCCACAATTGGAAAAGACTGAAACGTCTTGAGCAACATCCTTGTGACTTAATACTAATGTGCCACTTATATCTTAAACCTCTTCCCAGTATCTCTGAGTTCAGGTGTCACATTGCAGGATGCAAACAATTATTCGACACACTGGAAGGATATGAGCACCACTACAATGCATTACATCGAAACGTGTGCTCCAACTGTAAGCGATCGTTTCCATCAAATCGCCTGCTGGAGATCCACATATTGGAGTGGCATGACTCTCTCTTCCAGATCATGGCGGAGAAACAATGCATGGTAATCTCATTTTCAATACCATTTTGGAGTGTAGAGAGTGATATATAAAGTGTTGTGGCCAATAATGATAGCATTGTGTGAATGTGTGGTAGATGTAGATTTATACTTTAGTCAACATTTGAAGTGTATCAAAAAAGTTAATCAAAATGGTCCCAAGCCAAGAATGGGTGTTGTTTAATAGTTTTAGGACATTTTTAAAGCCAGATTGGAGTGCAGTGAGTGATATCACCCTTTGAATTGTTTTTCTTTTTTTAATATTTCCCAAACGATGTTTAACAGAGCATGGAAATTTTCTGTTTGTCTGATAACATTTTTTCTTCTGGAGAAAGTCTTATTTGTTTTATTTAGGCTACAATAAATTGTATTAAATTTTTTTAAGAACCATTTTAAGTTCAAAATTATCAACCCGTTTTAAGATATCTGGTTTTTCGATAGTCTACAGAACAAACCATTGTTATACAATGACTTGCCTAATTACCCTAACCTGCCTAGTTAAACTAATTAACCCAGTTAAGCATTTAAATGTCACTTTAAGCAATATAGAAGTTTCTTGAAAAATGTCTAGTAAAATATTATTTACTGTCATCATGGCAAAGATAAAATAAATCAGTTATTAGAAATGAGTAATTAAAACTATTATGTTTGATAGGGTGGGAAGGGGGAATTATTCAGTGGGGCTAATAGTTCTGACTCAACTGTATTATATATATATTGTGGCCACGTGATTCATTATAGAATCGTGTGAATTGTGGATAAATCATTTGAAGTATATAAAAAAATGATCAAAATTGTCAAGCTAAAAATGGGTGTTGTTGTTTTTAGGACATTAGCAAAACCTCTAAATAAGTCAATAGTTTTAGGACCACTTTGATAAAAGTTTTTGATCCAGTGTATATGTTGACTACTGTTAACTGTTATAGATATATAAATTGACCACAGATTGATAAAACAAATATATTAGAGAGAATTCTTATATGAATTATTTGTGTAAATGCCTACCAGATTAGAAAAACTGTAAAAACATTTACTCACAGAAGTAAGCTTCACATTTAACTAGATCCAAGAGAAATGCTGCCATCTACTGGTTTCATCCGCAAGTTGTAGTAGGAATAGTTCTAACACAAAAATGACAGTTCTGTCATCTTTGACTATTTTCTGTTAAACGCCCAAAAATACACGTTTTATTTTTATTATAATATTTTTTATAATGCTAGCCATTGACTTTCATTGTATATTTTCCTATGATGGATGTCAGACAGTGGCTATGGGTTACCGAAATTCTTCAAAATATATTCTTTGTATACAGCAGAAAAAAATTTAAATACAATTTTGGAACAGTTTGGTTGAGGAAATACTGATTCATTTTGGCGCTTAAAACGTTGAAACTCATTTTAAAAGAAGCAAAAATAAGTGAAATTAAATATTAGTACATATATCATTATATATCTTCCCTACTCTCGATACGCCATTTAAACCAGCAAATATATTTTTTTCTCTGCTTTTTCTCTGATAAACATCTGTTAATTCTGTTTTACTAATATTGCTTTTCAGTATGAGTGCTTGGTTGAAGGATGTGGACTGAAATTCAAAACGAGCAAAGAAAGGAAAGATCATCTAATCAGAACGCATAGCTATCCAGCGGACTTCAGATTTGACAAGTCAAAGAAGATCGGAAGGTTTGGTGTTAATACAGAATGTCAGTTTTGTCATTACATTTTGGCTTTTTTATTATGTGCTAATTTTAAGCATGATAATCACATCAACAGAACAACAGAAAAAAAGACTCAACAGAAGAAGGATGCACATATGGAAGTTTCTGCAACCGTTCTGCAACAAGAAAGCTCTGAGTCCATGGATTTTTCGCTGACCCCAGAGCCTGTGGAAACAGAACCAATGCAGGCAGCTAATCTAAAACCACGATACTCATACAAGTGGGTGGATTCTAGGTCATGGATTAATATAAATACTTGATTAAGTTTCATTACCCTGTAGACTCAGTGATCAGAACTATCTGTTGATTATTATCTTTCCTTCAGAGTTCCATCATCCATTTGTTTCGGTCAAGGCTCAGTCAGAGGCTTCAGAGGAAGGAGGAAGAAATAGGCCAAAGCTTTTCTTCATCGCTAACAGCTCACCACATGAGCTCAGTAAAGCATTTGTTTGTTGAGAGCTGTATTTTTATAATAAAAATCATGAAAGCAAACTTTAAAAAGGTTTTTTTTTCTTATGTGGCATATGGCTTTAGAATGCAAAACCTGACAGATGATTGTAGTGAAAAGATTATAAGTAAAATGTCAAGCGGAGTATCTTAATTTCAATTCAGGGATGTTATGCATTGCAGTAAATGTAAGTGCTTCTAGATGCTGCTTTCAACGAATGGCACAGAATTGTTTGCTGAATCGCTTCATGCTTCAGGTAAAAAACACGGGGTGTAATTATGGGGGACCTAATAAAAAACTTGTGACAAATTGCAACAAACATGTTTTTTTGAATCAGATTTACAGGGGTTGAATTTTGTAACGTGTAGAGGTTATATGAAGGGCTTGCGTTTAATACCCAATGGGCCAGGAATTCTCACCGTTACAGTTTGGTCTGTTCAGTAAATAGATTATTTTTGTTATATCTTTATATTAATTTTAGGAGCATGTTCGTGTATCTTGTAAATGTTCGTTTTGTATATTTAGCGCTGATCGTTTGTAATTAAACCTTTGCAATCGTCGATTTCTGAAAAATATATGGAGCAACGCGTTGCTGTCACAAATGTTACAAAGCGCTTTTTATTTAGATTCACTAAACGTAAGTGATTAAAACAGCAGGACTGTTAGGTTGAATTGAAAGGTTTTAAATAATGACATTGTACACATCAGTTTCTGTGAAGATTTATTTTAATGCAAAAGATTATTTCTAATTTGTATATACATATAAAATATACAATAATTTACAGAAGATAAATGTAAACAGTGTATAAATATCAGCAATTCTGTTTGTATTTTTGTTCAAAGGGAATGCAAAATCTGTAATATATACGTGTATTTACAATAATAAAAAAATCTAGACATTATTCTTACAACCTAGCAAACTAGCATACATGTAGTCTACTGAAGGGATTATGGCTAAACAGGCGAAAATCAAAAAACACAGGCCAAAATACTCTGTGTCCCAAAAGGTTTGGGAAGAAAAAGTATAGAGTAATTGAAGATGCTGTTTCTCGTTGATCATATTCAATAAAGACCAACCAAATAACAAATCGAATATCTGAAACTAATAGCGGGCAGAAATAAAAACAAGTAACCAGATTGGCAGTAGAGAATTTGCTAATTTTGATATCTGAGCACAATCTTTGTAATATTCTACAAAATATTTGGTTTGAGTGAAAATACATGGATTAATTTAAAAAAGGCTCTTACAATCCATTTAGGCCCCAATTAGGGCAGACCTATGGAAAGTAGCAATGACACAGTAAAACTTTTATTTTTACGGTATAGGCCTATTCTGCTGCCAGTCGAAACAAGCACTTTAATTTAAAAAAAAATAGTAATTATAAGGTCTTCTTTAAGAGCTTTTTGGAACTGGCACAAACCAGGAGTTTATTTTCGCATCACACATCAACAAATGATGCTGCTCTAGAAACTTTCTAGATCGGCTGTGCCCTTGAAATAATCTACTGGAAATATTTTCTCTGAGACTAAGACAATTATTCACATAGCGGTGTGTCTGTAGGCTATACTTGTATAATACAGCATAAAGTCTTCTGTATTAAGGGGAATATTCATTGCACTTTTAAAACCAATTTGGGTACTATTACTTTTGGAATAAACCGTGTGGATTACAAAAATAATTTATTTTAAATTTTTGCATTTGCTTAAGTTCTATAAAGGAAACATATTTGCAATTTCACACGTCTTTTGACTGGCAGAATTGCAGCAGTTACAGACGGTGAATTGAAGGACGTGCTTCAGTCTGTTAAGACAAATAATACATTCCGTAGGTCACTGGCCCACCGAAAAGTCCCGGGACTGGTAAGGCAGGTCTGGGAAAGGAGCTGGACGGTCCGTAGAGTGGTGGAGAACCAACATGTGTTCCGAGTGGGAACGGAAAGGCGAACGCAGGTAATAACGGCTTGGTTGCAAGTTTCAGTTTCTCTAGTTCGGCCTCCTGGAGTCTTTTTGCCTTCGCCCGTCTGTTTTGAAACCAGATTTTAACTTGAGTCTCTGTGAGGTTGAGTGAATTGGAAAATTCCGCTCTCTCTGCAATAGAAAGATACTGTTTTTGACGAAATTTTCTCTCCAAAGCGAGCAACTGCGAGGTGGTAAACGGGGTCCGCGGTTTTCGGTTGTTCTTGTGCTTTCTGAGGGTACAGGGGGGTGGACTTGAATGCCCTGAAATTATTAAAAACATTCAACAGATTAATTACAATTACATTGGCAAGGTAACAGGTGCTATTTATACTTTTTTGTTCTGCCGAAGTTAATTTTAAAGACTAGTCTATCCCCAAGGTCTGAATTATACATAGGCCTGAACATTTTTTTTAAAATGTATTCACTAAATTTTCATTGTTAAAATGAATGCGTATTCGTAGCAGGAATACTGGATAATAATTCTACAATTAGATGACATCAATATCTTCATCTGCACATCACATAGTAGTGTAATTTTTTTTTAAGTCTGTGTATATGTATTAGCAGCTATTCAGCTTCATTCCTGAGCGCGTTTAACTGCATGTATTTTATAATCGTCAAACTGTCATGCATCATCATGTACAATTATTGCTGAGGTGCTTACTTGGCGGAGAAGTGTACGAGGTTGTCTGAAACCAGCCGGACTGTCCCTTGTCACTTAGTTCTTCCATATCCCCTCTCTTGCAGTCGGAGAGGTTGGAGACGCTCTCCACTGGGATCTTCCTATCTGCGTAAAGAGCCATGGGCGAGAGCTTCAGCCGCTCATCCGCACCGGATGTCGGAGATATAATACCAGCTTCAGAAGACGTGTATAAAGTCCGTGAGCTTGTTCTGTCTGATATTAAAGATTCCACACTGAACGGGAGACTCAGCGCTTTGCCTTTACATCCTTTGACAGCCGCTTTATCGTTGGATTGAGCATCCTCTTTGTCCGCGCTTTTGCGCTCCTGTAGTTTTCCTTCTTGGGAGAGTGGCCCTTCAGAATTCATCATAGATGATAAAGGGGCCATACAACAAGAATATGTGAGTCGTCCTGAACTGTACTCTGGTCCAGCAGCGCTTCCCTTCTGCCGTCGCGCTTTTGCGACGCTTGCCTCGCTCTCCAAGCAGAGCGCACTCGCAGCTATAAACTTCCAAAAGTTCGCTTTTTTCCCTGCCGCCCTCCAATCGGCTTGACATTTCACCCACATGACTTTCCGCGTACTCGTCCTGATTGGTCCAAGCAGTTTCTTTGAGACGTCACAATGATTTTGAAAGAAATGTTGCATGGTTAATCATACTTGTCTTGCCGAGGTGGTTTATTGATTGCTCTGGGGGCTCCAGTCTTGGAGGCAAGGAGCCATTTGAGAAGTTTTGTTGCAATTAACCAGAGGGGATGTCTGTATAGCGGGCCTCCGTACTCATTAACTGAACTCTTATTGAAAACATACAGCGAAACAAACCACTTCCTTGGCCTCTTCGTCCACGATTTCTGGGATATTTACTTTATAAAAGCGCTGGATAAACTGAACATTTTTATATCACACGTGTCATAGAAGTGTTTGTTCAACATGCATAAAATAGCTAATAATAATAATGATAATAATAAATGTTTTTGATTGGCATTTTAGTTTTCACTTTAAAAAATGCGTCTGTTTCACATTATAAACAGGATCATGTTTAACTGAGGAAGAAACGCTTTCAAAGATTCCCGTAAAATGTGACGGGACAAAATGATGTGACTGAATTGACGATGATTTTGTCACGCTGCATTACAGCAATTTAAAGCTTGTCTTGGCCCTTTAAGACTGCAGAAAGCCTCCATTGAGGCGCAACTGGCAACCCCTCACCGTAAGTCAAAGCATTTCATAACGCAGACAAGCCCTGTTTTGGAAGGCGCCAGTCTCGGCAAGATCAAAAAGGAAGCTACCTCAGGGAGAATATGCAACAGTTAACTCCACTTAACCAATTGTCCTCGAAGAGTTTAATGTCAAGGCAATAGCCAGAGGGCAATCAGTTCCCACAGACAGCGCGCACCACTCAGTTAACTGTTGCCTCACTATATGTCTCCTTCTAGAAGACTTAGACTTGATCATTTTTATTATCAGAGCATGTTTACATTGTAGTTTACTGCGAGAAGATAAAAAGTAACCAAAAACAAGCCTGTTTTTTTAAACGGATTTCGGTCTAGCCTAAATCAACCAAATGAGCGACTTCTGTGACATTTGGTTTAATTGTGTGTAGTACGCATATTTAGCATTTAGGCATAATTCATGAAATAAAAAAATATGATAATTTTTTTTTTACATTTATGATGGGAGTTTTACGTTACATTCTTGTCAAGATCTCAGAAGCATTCATTCGTATAATAAAATATCGCTGTTTGACAGGGATATTTTAGTAGGCCTATCAAAAATGTTATTAGAAACGTAGCCTATTTTTGTGTGTTAACCTCGACTGTTGACCTGCTATATTAGGCCAGCTGTTATTAGCCAGATGTGTAATTTATACGATTCAGTTCAGAGTCACATGATTCATCTGTCAAAACCGAGGTTTGGCAAGGCTTCTTACGCTCATCGTTCAAATTAACGGAAATTACTGATGCAGTCTATTAAATATTTCACTGTTTGGCATTATTCGAGAAATAATTTTGAAGTAGGCCTAGTCTAACGCAAAAAAAAAAAAAATTGTTTTGTTTTCTAATAAGTATTTTAAACATTCATGTCGATGACGTCCTGCTCCAAAGGGTCAAGCCATCGCGATCGATGACAGTTTTGGATTTTTTTTTTCTGAACTTTTTTCTTGCTGATCCAGAGTGCCTGCCCTGCTCTCGACAAGGCGGAATTTCAGCGAAATCCTTGGTGAATGTAATTGCTGGGACCATGTAACCTCCTCCCATGAGAATACCACTCCAAGTGTTCTTCAAAACCAGTGCACATATTGAAACATTTACTAAGGAAGTGGTTCTCTGATTTATTACAAAGCAAAATACTGTAAGTAGTGTAGTGTGTCTATGTGCTACTCATTACCCCAAAATGGTAGTAGCTGACAGGGTTAAGATGTGAAAGAGCCCAAACAAACCTTTCAAGTTCATATAAATGTAAAAAGAAAACAACAATTATAGGCCCATATTATACTAATGCAAAATTGGAATAATTTAGTGTCTAATGAGGATTTTTTGTAGACAATTATTAATAGGAAAACACATTTAGCTTTCTGCAAAATGAAGATGGAGTGCAATAGATTAAATTAATTGCTTTTGGAAATTGCAAGGCATTAGCGGAAGAGATACATTATTTTTTTTACAATAATAGTGCAACTGCACTGTTAAAGCTTCACATGATTATACAAGAACATAGAAGACAAATATATGATTATCCTGGTACTTCCAGAAGCCAGACTCAATGTACCGTATATTGTGTGCCACAATGTCCTCATTATTTGTTAACAAACCAAGATTTTCATATTTGCAGAGCCAATGTCAAAGTTGATATGTTAAAAGACCACATTAAGATTTTTATCTGAGGACATCACTGTTGCCTTTTGCTTCTATATAGCTATTAAGTGATTTCCTTTGCCGTCATCTCAGGACGTTATTTCATCTCTGGGGAATTTAATGTCATGCGTAACTTTCCTCCCGTCTCCCTTGACTCTCAACCTTTTTTATTGAATAATTAATTTTTCCTGTTACTCTTCTTGAGGTTAGTATAATTGCTAGAAATGTAAACACACAATGTTATTCTTTGGGAATCCCTCATGACTCGACTATTGCTGTGCCAATGGAACAATTGCTCTTAAGCAGTACAATACTGTTTATGTTAGTCCTCTGTGCATGAGTTCAAAGTTTTGCAAAGATCTGATTCTTGATGGAATGTTTGTCTATGTCCAAGGGGGGTTACATAGATTTCTCATGCATCCTTAGCTTTGATTCTCATGTTTAAAAAAATAAAGCCAAGCAGAATTCTGTGCTGATTGCCGAGAGTCTCTTGTGGTTGGAAAGTGCATCTTTTCAAAGTACAAATTATTGGGGAAAAGTTTTGTCGTTATGGTGCGATACATTTTCAGTTTGCTGCTGGATCATTGGACAAAAGCAAATTTAAATGTATATTTACCCTCAGGCCATGCAATATAGATATTGAAGACTTTTTCATCTGAAGAACATTAAAATAGAAAAAAGAGGGGCTTCAAAAAATAAAAAATTAAAGAAAAGTTTTCAATGTATGTACAATTCATTTTGTTTCACCTGCATGTTTTCTTTATTTTAATTGAAAGTGCTGGTTTGAATCAAGTGCCATGATTCCAGCTAATGTTCAACTAAAGAAAAAAAGTCACCAATGTCTTGGATTATGAACACCTTTAACAGCAAATTTTTATTATTTTTTAGTAAAATATTCTTTCAAGAATTATTAGCCCCCCTGAATTATTAGCCCCGTTCATTTTTCCCCCAATTTCTGTTTAACGGAGAGAAGATTTTTTTCCAACCCATTTCTAAACAAAGTAGTTTTAATATCTCAACTCTAATAACTGATTTATTTTATCTTTTCCATGATGACAGTAAATAATATTTGACCAGATATTTTTCAAGATACTTATGCAGCTTAAAGTCACATTTAAAGGCTTAACTAAGTTAACTAGGCAGGTTAGGGTAATTAGGCAAGTTATTGTATAATGATGGTTTGTTCTGTGGACAATCAGGAAAAAATAGCTTAAAGGGGCAAATAGTTTTGACCTTAAAATGGGTTTTAAAAATATTAAAAACTGCTTTTATTCTAGCCAAAAGAAAACAAGTAAGACTTTCTCCTGAAGAAAAAATATTATCAGATACACTGTGAACATTTCCTTGCTCTGTTAAACATCATTTGGGAATTATTTAAAAAAAGAAAAAAATATATTCAAAGGGGGGCTATTAATTCTGATTTCAACTGTATAATAGTAAGTATAAGTATAAACCTTTTTAATGAAAACTGAAACTAATATTTCAGAATCGATAGTGTATGCAAATGTATGAAGCATAGTTCAAGTTACATTGCCATCATCTTGGCCCAACTGACATTAATAGTTGAAGACATTTCATACCCTCTCCAGCCGTGCTGACATGCTGTACATTGAGCCAATCACAGATGTGTGGTTTTGCTGTAGTACAAAGTAAACGACCCCCTCCTTGCACACACACATTTGCCCTTTAAAGAGTTAAGGTCACAGACCAATCTCATCTCAGTGGCTTTACAACTCTATTTTGTGATCTCATCCTAGCATGTTAGTGTCTTTCTGATCTGTGCCTTGTTTCTCTTTGGAGTATGAAAACCTTTGAGAAAGCAATACTTCTGAGCATCTAAAATCTCCGACTGTCATCTTCACAGATTTCCATCTTCATAACCATGCGTACGCTTTTCTGTAGTCACCGCTAAAACGGGCCGTCTACAAACATTAAATCTTGCGGCATATCCGTACAGATTGTATTGGCATCATGTTATGATAATCATAGGCTTTTAGACGATCAAAGAAAATCCTTGCAGAGGTTTCAAAGGGCGCGAGTAACCATTTTAAATGAGATCAGTGTTTTTGAATACTCCAAGGCACAGAACTTGAACTTTTGGCTTCATGGTTTTTGTTTTTTTAATCAGATCTTGTTCTGTGAATAATACTTTGGCTTGTCAAGATCAATTTACATACGCACATTACAGTAGTCCAATTTTGAGCGTTTTCATCTCTGTATCAAGCGGTGCCTTAGTGGGGTGCAGGCTCTCCATGACTCTCCTTAAATTTGGCTATGCTTTGGCCTATTGTGCATATGAGGTTCTCGCCCAAGATTTAAGTTTAGATAATTATTATTTTATTTCTCCGTTTCATAAGTCCAAATCATTTTGCGGTAGAAGGTTATTGCTGCAAATGATCTTATCCTGTCAAATCAACATAATTATGCTGGACAATCTTCAGACTATTATATATCTAGGCTACTATCTTTTGCATTTTATACATATACCTTTATGAAAAAGAAATCCCCCTTGAAGTATAATCTCACAATGTTTAGCTTAAGGCTTCTAAAGTGGTGCCCTGTTTCAGAGATTTCCGCCTTTGACTCCAGAAGACATTTCTGTCACAGCGTGGAGGCAAGTAAACTATGTCAGAAGTCATTACAGAC